AACAGCTTGCCTCTGTGACAAGGCGTCTAACTTAGGGCTGACCAAGGAGTTTGTTCAAGCATTTGGGACTTTGTCTTAAACAGGGAAAATCCCAGGCTATATCAGCTATAATCACTGCAATAATGGGGTTGAAAAAAATCTCACAATTCATCCTAAAGCATTAAGGTGGGAATCACATCACTTATCCCAGAGGGTTGGTTAATGGGTCCATGGTTGTGCTGGGTACATGGTTGTCCTGACATGCTGCAACTGGATAGTGTGGGCTGCAAGACCTTTGGTTAGAAGTAGGTGATTTATCATGCAAACCTGTTTCCCTAAACCAGTGGCAATGATGCATCTCCCATGTGGCCACATAGACAGATGTTTTCTTGAAGGAGTGGCGGGGGGGGGGTCATACAGAATCACCACACAGTTAAGAGCTGGGTGACACAACGCAAGTTAAAGCATGGTGTGGAAGAGAGGTTGAGGCAGTTAGAACAAGCAGGGTTTGTTTAAATGTTATCTCTCTACTGGTGACTTGAGATAATGTATCCTTTAAAAACATCACTTGTGTATCTGTATGTGCATGGCTCTGTGTGTGTGTGTGTGTGTGTGTGTGTGTGTGTGTGTGTGCACATGAGTGCAGGTCCCTCAGAGGCCACAAGAGGGCATCATATCTCCTGGAGCTGGAGTTACAGGGAGTTGTGAGCAGCCTGATTTCAGATGTTGAGACTTGAACTCACGTCCTCTGAAGGAGCAGCAAGCACTCTGAACCACTGAGCCATCTCTCCAGCCCCAGACGTTCCTATCTCAATATGCGGTAGTATATCAGACAGAAAATAAGCCTGTCAGCTTCAATTCTCTTTTTCTACCACAAACACCACTCAAAACACTATTGTGTAAATTACTGTCGGCCTACAAGAAATCAGATGAAGCCAGGTGTGGTGGCACACATCTGTAACCCTAGCACTGGGAACCTGAGGCAGGAGGATGATCATAAGCTTGAGGCCAGCCTGGGCTACATAGCTGAGTTCTTAGCTGGTCTGAGCTACACAGTGGCTTTTCAAAGGGGGATGGGGAGGAGAGGCTAGAGAGGTTTCCAGTAAATGAGACCTCAGAGTTTCAGACCCCCCAGGGAAGGTGAGGAGGGTGGAACACGGACAACAGGGAACCAAAAGCCAGGAAACCCATCAGCATTCCCGTGCCAGCAAGCTCCGGCAGCTGCACCCACACTCATGAAACAATGCGGGAGAGAGCTGACACCCGACCACTCTGCACGCAGAGCCCCCTTCCACACTCCTGGACCGATCAGATGAGAACGCCTCGATTTAGATAACTGGAAATTGCTTTCGGAGCCTTAATTTCCCATTAGCTCATTAATCTATTCAGACTCCCAACAAGACAGCTGATGATAATTCCGGAGGAAGTAGGCACTTAACAGGAGAGCTACAGAGTGGGGAGAGGGGTTGGGCATGAGGGAGAAGTTTCTGGCTTCCTGGGTGGAGGGATATCCCAATGTTCATCTGTCAAGCTGGTAATGGTGTTGGCTCTCATTAATTAGCACTCATAATGGGCCAGGTACTGGAGAAACAAGAACTCTGGTGGGCAATTACCTTGTTTATCTGTTTCTTTTTTAACTGTTTTAGTAGTGACTTCTTCCGCTGCTGTGACAAAATACCCGCCTGACACAAGCAACTTAAAGGGAGAAGGGTTTACTGTGGCTCACATTTCAAGGGGACGGCCCAGCATGCTTGGGTAGCAGGAGTGTGATGAGGATGGTCCTGTGGATCCACAGTCAGGAAGCAGAGAGAGATGGATGCTGGCGCTCAGCTCGCTTTCTCCTTTTTATTCCGTCCAGGACCCCAGGCCATGGGATGGTGCGTCCCACAAATAGAGTGGACCTTTCCACCTCAACCCATCTGATCTAGAAACCCCCTCACAGACACTCCCACAGGTGTGAATCCTAGAGATTCTAGATCCTGTTGAGCCGGCAGTCAGCTCTAACCATCTACTGAGTAGGCGTTGCGAGCCCGCGGTAAGGAAAAAGAAATGGAGGCACAGAAGTGATCACGTGACCAGCTGGTGGTGGCTTCAGGGGTCATACACATGTCTGCCCTAAAGCCTAGGCTTCTGATCATGTCTTACACATACACATGCTGTATGCATTTCTGAACAGGCGATGATACACAAGAACCGGGTAAGAAGAGAGCTTGCAATTCCCAGAGCCCCTGACTTAGAACTGTATGTAGCCCCTTATCATGGCCCTTCCTATTTCCCTCCCCTCCCTTCCTGCCTAGCACTACTATAGGCAATGGCTTCTTAACTCGTAAATATGAAATATCCAACTGGCAAATATTAGCTGAATGACTAGTGAAATGGCCATGCCCACTTCTTTAAGAAGTGACCTCCGACCTCCTCATTCTCAGGGTCACCTCTCTGAGAGGTCATTTACCACTGTTTATTCCTGTCCTTTGGCTCCACTCAGACTCATTCCTCTGCTATGAGACTTCTCCTAACTCTTTGACCATGGAGTTTGCATATTGCCTGTTCATGCCCTCACCAACTCTCCTATGAACCCATTCGAGGTGTCCACATTTTTTGTCTGAAAATACATGCAGGCATCCCTGTAACTAAAGTTCCTCAAGGGACTTTGTTAACCTCATGGCGTGCACAACAAATATATCACATCTGGCTCCTGTTCTGTTGTAGCTGCAGAGATGTGTGGTCGGGATAAAAACACACCCAGATACCATACCCAACTATTACAGTTGAAGAGCTGAGCACATTAGTGATGTCATGAGTGTCCCCCAACCAGACTGGTCTGAATTCTGACCTCACCCCTTCATGTTGCCAGGAGCTACTTTGCATAAGGTGGAGTGAGAGGCAGTGGGGAAATGTTTCTGGATAACAGGGTAAGTTGAGGACATTTTAATGACTCCTCCCAGCCATCCAGTCATGGGCACTAATAGCATGCCTGCTCTTCAGAGGAGAAAAAAACCAAGATTACAGGCCTCTTAAGACTCCAGGCAGAAATGGGACCCAAACTTAGTGTTGGTGGCTTCCAGAGCCTCAGATCCATGTGGCTGGCCTGTCCCCTACCTCCTCCCCCAGCCCTTGGCAGGGTCTCAGGCTCTGCTCATTACTCCTAGAACAGAAGGCAGGGAGGATGGCCTCCTCTGGGTCCCACCTCTAGTGCTGAAAATTGAAAAGGCTTGAGGAGTGTTCAGCCTCACTGACTCCTGGCTGTGTCCCTGCCACCTAATTACTTGACTTCAAAGCCTCCACACTGCAGGTGTGAGGCTGTGAGAGTCATTTCCCCCCACAGAACACAGCATGACTTGATACAGTCAAGATGGGTCTCCAAGGTAGCAGGCGGGCTGGGGAGATCAGGCAGCCTCCGAGCCAGACCTGAGCACCTGCCCTTGTGCAGCCCAGAGTCAGAAAGCTGAGGGGCCACCAGAGAGTCAGAAACCACAGAGGGCAGCAGCTCAGAATGCTAACATACACCAATTACTGTCCCAACCACCCTTAGACCATGGAGCTAAATGATCCCCAGGGGCTGGAAATAATTAATCCTCCCCACAGCCCAGGCTTGCAGGTAAGGCCATCAGAGAGGCATTTGGCAAGATGCCTGAACAGGCCTGAGAGAGAGAGAGAGAGAGAGAGAGAGAGAGAGAGAGAGAGAGAGAGAGAGAGACTTATTGAATATTTCCTATCAATCGACACATGCCCAGCCCTATCTTTAGCATACAGTCAAATGTGTCTGTTTTGTAATTGCTGGACCTGAGTAGGTAGTTAACACATGTGTGCAGATATATACAGAGAGATGTGTGAGGACAGAAATGTGAGGTGACATGCCCATGGTCACACCGCTACTAAGTGGCAGAGAAAAGATTTGAACCTGGTTTAATCTGTTTCCAGAGCCCACGGCTCGTGTCAATGTTTTCTCTTACCTCCTTCCTGGCCTTCTATCAGACATGACAGAGAACGTGTATAAGGAAGGGGTAAGGTGTGTTGGTCCCACCTCCCAACCAGAATTAGCATTCAACATGAAGCCATAGAAAGAAATGCAGCAGGAGTTAAGGGGCCCGAGTTCAAGTCCTACCTCCTACTTCCTAGCTGGGACTTTTCCAAGTTGAGACTTTTACAGACACGAAATGGGAAAATCATAACACACTATCAGAGACAGCACATGACAAGAAAGGACAGAGGAGAAGGAACTTTGCAAAGTATCAAAGGTATCAGCGAACCACAGGGCTGGAGCCATGCTGTCAACTGTCTTCATGAACAAAGTTTTCTTGTACCATATCCATGGCCATGACTATTTCTGAATCACCTGTGACTACTTTCAAAATACACAGGTCCAGTTTGAGCAGCTGCAAGGGAAACACCGAGGCTCCAGAGGACCATGGAGCTTAAAGTATTTACTACAGGGGCAACTGGAAGAGTTTGCTGATGACTAACCTTCGACACTGTATTAGTTACTTTTTCTGTGGCAGAATACATGCGGCAACTATCAATCAGGGGACATAGACCACAGAGGAAAGAAAGCATGAGGTTACGTAGAAGCGGCAGGGAATAGAAGGGACGCTGGCTTACAACAGTTAACCCCCATTCCTATAATCCACTGTCTGCCCGCCAGACTCCCACCCCATGTCCAAAGGGATCCCAAACATCAGCTGGGGACCAAGAGCCAATCACATGAGACTGTGGGAAACACTTCACATTCACAACGACAATAGAGGCCCTGAGTGTGAGAAACACCACTGGCCCCAGTGCATGGTGTAATATATTAACCTTCCTACGGTCTCCTCTCAGCTCTGGCTTTACTGAGAACTGGTCTCCCTGATACCCTACACAAACACACAGCTTCACCTGGGACCCTTTCTAAAACACAAAGCAAATGTCTCTCCCCAGAGTCAGGAACTCACACCTCCCTGGACTGCGGCTAAGCCCAGCCCAGCACTGGCTGATATCTGGGCATTGGGGGGGAAAAAGTCCCTTAAAGGGAAATCACTCACTTGCAATTTTTACACTTGAGGCCAAAAAGCATCCCTTTCCCGCAGACAGTGCACGTCTGAGACATCCAGTACTTGGTGGAAAACCTGTGAGAAAGAAACAGGAAATGTCCAAGGTAAGGCAGTGGCCACAAGCCCATCTCCAGCAGGATGTACCCCTAGAACAGGAAGCCTAAAAACCCTGGATTCCAGACCTGCTTTTTCCAAAACAGGTAATAATTAAGTTCAGTCAAGTTGCTTAAACCATGAAGCCTCAGTTTTCTTGCCTGTAAAGTGGGAGTAATCTTGACATTGACCTCAGAGGTTATTGGGTCTGACACATAGGTAATGCTATTTGAAGTGGGCTATTGCCTCAAGTGTTCCTTATGGTCATTTATTCACTCGACAAACACTGGAGGTGGTCTACAAATGGCAGATTCAATTCTATAACAGAGGAGAATTCCCCCCTGACAAATGAAAGCCTTTTCAGATACCAACAGTTCATCTTCCCCCAGTCACTGCCACCTGCTGCAAATACAGCGTGGGAGTCCCCAGGCATCACCAACGCTGATTGGAAGTCATTAGATTAACTCGCAGATCGACCCTCCTGCGCTGTGGCGTGCTTTCTGCCTTGAGATAGGAGACGGAGGTGAGGCTGGATCCAGCAAAAGTATTGAAGGTTCCCAGGTCACAGTTAATTTTAATTTTCAATTTGTGCCACCGTGGGCAGTAGTTGTATCTAATCTCCACTGCCTCCTCCGAGTGTCAAAGGGGAAACTTGGATGTGCTTACATAACTCAGAGATGGAGAACTTTGAGGAGAAAGGCTGCTTCCCTCTGCTTTCCCCTTCTTGCGGGATCTGGGTCAGCCCTTTAAGCACAGCGAGCCAGCAGCAGCCTGGATCTGCCACAGCTAAGCAAATAGCAATATTCACAACAGAGACACTGGCTTGCCGATGCTCCCTCTCCAGCTTTGGACGGGGGCCTGGTTAAGCCCCTTTGGGTCTTAGCAGGGCTTAGCGGGTCTATTCTGCAAGCTGGGGCAGCTCAGGCGAAGGGCTGGCAAAAGACCCATGGGGCAGCAACCCAGAGATGGGGGGCAGGTGTGAGGGCCCCCTGGCAGTTTTCTCTTCAGCTTTGGCCTGCCCCCCCGGGGGCGTGGTCTCTGTTGCCTGGCTCTTCTGCCATAACACCAACGACAGAGAGTGAGAACTGTTTTTGCTGGTGGTGGTTTTTTCTGTAAGACAGGTTGTATTATGGTGCCCAGGCTGTCCTTGACCTCTTGACTCTCTGCCTTATCCTCCTGTGTGTCGGGTGTATGCACCACTACACCTGACACCACAGGGAAGGAGTGTTAATTTCTGAACAAGGCTGGAGTCTCTCCTTCCTGACATCTAGCCGGAGATGGGATGGATGATGGATGCAGGGTGACTGAGCCTAAAGAGTAACGCCCATCAGGGGCCCTCCCCTCACCAGGAAGCCAGCTCTGGGGCCCAAGATGCTCAGCCTGCTTGACGACCCTAGACATCGGGATCTGAAACTGTGGCACCACCAGCTTCCAGAGAAAGCCCAGGGGTGGAGCCAACCAAGTGAGGTCCAGGCAAGAATGTAGCCAACCCAGGGAGGAACCACAAGTGTCACCAAACTGGAGGGCTGACTGACGGGACACAGAGAGGTGTCTGATACAGAAACTGAACCCAGGAGGGGCTGTGGCCAACCCAGCGGTGGAGCTGAACCGGTAAACATTTTAAAAGGCCCTCATCCTGAGTCCTCTTCCCTCCACAGCTCAGCCTCTGGTCACTGACTGGCCTGTCTGTCACTATTTCTCACAGTTTCCAGTTGTGCTATTTTTCTTTAAGAACTGGTGATGAGTTAGTTGTCATGAGGAGAATGTAGCCTGGCCCCAGGCTGAGGCTGTGTTTGTGTCGGGGCCTGGGGTTTCTCACCTCGGTGGATGACAGGCCTCTGGGGACTGTCAGCAGACCCCTTTGCTGACTGGCCGCTCCCCAGGGACACAGGGTTTGCTGCTGCTAGCACTCTGCAAGCCTGAAGTACTTTATACTATCAGCGAGAGGTGTGTGCACAGCCCTTAATACGTCATCTCATTTGTAGGGAGAATGTACAAACTTATTCGTACAAAGAGAAAAGGTTTCTTCTCCAACTACGGTTCGATGACCCACTCTCTATAGCCTGATAGATTTGTCTCACGGATGTACAGTTTAATGTTAAGTCTTGGGAGGTCATGACTGTAATACCCCAGGGCCTTCCTTTATTTCCGCCACTGTATGATTTGCATTTTTGATAATAGAAATGACATTTAAAAAGAAATGGATCCAGAGAGGTTAAGCAATTTCTCATGGCTGTGAAGCTTTACTAGGAGGGATTGGAACTCAGGACAGTGTGAGCATAAGGCCTCTGCTTTTCACAGTGCTGTGTGGGCTTGATAAGGGCACCTCCGTCCAGCAAAAGACAGAAGGGTGTGGCGGTATGGGAGGGGGGTGAGGGGGTAGGGGGGCATATTACTCACACACACACACACACACACACACACACACACACGGGCACAGCCGCCTACCTACCTGTGCTTGATGGAGTTGCCAAGGTCTCTGCGTGGGATCTGCGGTGACCACCGCGGTACAGACAGTGTGTCTGTGGAGAGAAGAACAGACAGGAAGGTCATGGGCTGAGCCAGCTCTGCCTGGGCCCTGGAAAGAAAAAGGAACCCAACCCACTGGCTTCAGGCAGGACGCTGGTTGCTTTGGCCTACAGAGCCACGCAGGTGGAACTCCAGTGTAGGTCATGGGCTCAACTCATAGGAGTCTCCCCAGACAGGGTGGGCATCAGAGGCCTTCAAATATGTCATCTGAGGTCACTGTGGTAGTCAGGCTGAGGCAGGAGGATTAGGAGTTCAAGGTCATCCTGTGCTGCACAGTAATATTCTGCCCCCCCAAAAAACCACGGAATAAAAGAAAAGAATAAAGGAAGAAAGAAGCTGCACGTGTGATTTGTGGGGTGCCTCAGTGGATGGACAAAGGGTCTTGCTGAGTTCGATGCCTGGGTCCCACGTGGTGGAAGAAGAGAACAGACTCTGTAAGTTGGCCCCTGACCACACATGTGCCCACATGCATGCACAATTAATTAATTAATTAATTAAAAGTTACATTTTGTAATCTAAAAATAGAAGAGAGAAAGAGAAAGTGGGGTGGGAACTGTGGAAAGAATACAATGGAGCATGACCTCAGCTTAACCGTTCTTAGCATATGCCAACCTCGGGCTGAGTGACTCCCATGCCAGCCTCGCCCCTCCCCCCCAGCAGCTGGACGCATGGGCTCAAAGAAGGGAGTCACTTGCTCGAGGCTACTACACCTCATACTCTGCACAGTGGCTGGGAATCCTGGCATGAGGGACCCCAAGCCTGTGTTCCCACTCACAGTCATAAGGCAGTGGATTCCAGATACCTCCCCCTCCTCCCATGCCCCCCCCTCTGCAACGCCTCCCTTACCGGCCATGTGATCCCTTAAGTAACATTTAATGCTCAATCCTGGTTTTGGTTGTTCAAATATTTATTTCAAAAGCAGACTCTAACCCCGGCATGGTGGTATATATTTGTAATCCCAGCACTTGGTGGGTTTGAGGCAGGGGGATGATGGTGAGCTTGAGGCTCACCTGGGCTGCATATAGCAAACTCATGAACAAAAAGCAAAGCTGAACAGTCTCTATGTAGAAAACACTTGGGATGTTGCAGATAACAACTTTGAGGACGTCCAGCTGTGTGCAATCTCAAGTCATACTTGAACAGGTGGATGGATGAATGAGCAAGTGAGTACAAGAATGACTGGATGAAATCAGGGTACATGGATGGATAATGGATGGGTAGGTATGTACATAGACAGAAGAAGGAGGGTGTGTGATGGCGGATAGATGGATAGGTGGATGGTTACAAGTATGGATGGATAGTGCTGGGTAGGCGGTGGGTTGATGGATGGATGGATGGACAGATGGACAGGTGGGTGGGTGGGTGGATGGGTGGGTGGATGGGTGCACAAATAAAAATGAGAAAGAAACAATAAAGCACACAGACTTCAGACTGGATACCTGGTCCTGCTTTTTCTTTCTTTTCTTTTCTTTTCTTTTTTTTCTTTCTTTTCATGCTTTAGCCCAAATATGAACACACCACATAGTCACAAATGAGCAAGTCCCAGGTCCTCTGAGATCTTGAGCAGCCCCACCCACCCCCATCTCCTGCCCCCCTCACCAGGCTCCTGGAAGACCTTGCAGGCAGCAGACATAACACAGCAGCTGAGTGAACTAGTGCTCCCTTAGACAGCAGGGAGAGAGGCCAGGGGCCAGCCCCATGCCAGCACCCACTTCTCAGCCAGATGGATGGGGCCTGCTGGGGTCTCAGGGTTGCGGATGTGTGCCTCATTTTTCACAGCCATTGTTATGGAGTGTCGCTCTCACTGGGAGAGCTGGGCCTGTCAGAACACATGGGAGAACATTTAACCCAGTGGGCGCTCTGATCTATCCACCGATGGCTGCACTCATCAGAAAGCTGTTTTTGGAAAGCTCTATGCCGCCCTTGCAAAGCTGAGACCCCTGTTTTTCAGGAGCTGATGGTTTTCCAGGCCCCAAATGCTGAAGCCATAAGACCCACAGCCTACAGAACGTTCAACTAGCAAGGCCCATGTTATTACTTATGTCTAGTTTCTGGGGGAGATAAAAAAGAAAATGATGTTCTTTAAATATATTTTTTTCTGAGCCGGGTGGTGGTAGTGATACACGCCTTTAATCCCAGCACTCAGGAGGCAGAGGCTGGTGGATCTCTATGCATTCAAGATCAGCCTGACCTACAGAGTGAGTTCCAGGACAGTCAGGACTGTTTCACAAAGAAACTCTGTCTCAAAAACCATATATATATATATATATATATATATATATATATGGTTTTTTTCCATGTCAGTCCCTCTTTCAGACTGACATCAGACATGGGAGGAAAGATGTTACCCATTAACTCTGAAAGGCTGGAGAGGAAAGGCAGGTCAACATCCTGTGAGCCATCTACAAAACAGGAAGTGCTGAATGAGAGTCCACTCACAGGCTGTTAGTAATGCCTGACTAGAGCTGAGTTGAGGAGGACTGAGAGCAAGAGCCATGAGATTGATTAGTAATGCCTGCTATGAGTGAGGAAGGAGGTACTGCTAACAAGTCTTGAGATTGATTAGTAATGCCTGCCATGAGCGAGGAAGGAGGTACTGCTAAATCTTGAGATTGATTAGTAATGTCTGCCATGAGTCAGGAAGGAGGTAGTACTCACACATCTTACATTTACCTCCTCTACAAAAGCAACCACCAAATCCTCATCTTTGCACTCACCTCAGAGCATAGTGTCTGAGGCTGAGTGTGTTCTTCACCAACGTTTGATAAACCCAAGATTCTTATAATAGAAACAGTTTATTGAACACTTAGCATGCGCCAAGAAATCCTCTGTGTACTTAACAACCTTTCATCCACTGCCATAGCTATTCCCTGTGTACAAAGGAAGGCAACGGAGCTCAAGGAGGTGCGCTGACATGCTCAAGATCACATAACCAGGCACCAGTAGAAGCAAATGTAAAAATGCAACTCCCTAAAGGGATTGGGGTGATGGCTCTGTGGGTAAAGTGTCTGCTGTTCCGTCCCTCAGCTCCCATGCAATCGGGAGCTGGGATATTTGGAGATTTCTGAAGACATTCTGGGAGTGTCACACTGTGTTTGGGAGTTTGTTACTGGCAGCTAGTGGGGTGAAGCCAGAGGCTGTGTTAAACATCCCATAATACATAGGTGAGGACTCTCCCCATACACTCAACAAGCTAAAGCATCCCTTGTACCAAGGTTGAGACTCCTAATCTGGAAGTTTCTATAACTGCCTGTCCCCGAAAAATAAAGCATCTCAAATGATTGCCCTGGGCTCCTTTGGGCACAGAACAAGTCATCTCGGGCTGTGAGCATCTCCCGTTAGCTCTGTGTCATACTTAGTCCTCATCCGGCCCCTTTGCTTTGGGCAGACACAATTAAGCTCCTGGGCTGGCTTTCACGTTCCAGGCTCAGCTGGAGGGGTACATCCTGTCAACTGCATTAAGCTGAGAAGCCTCATTAGTCTGGAGCCCTTGCTCCCCAGGCTTGGCTTTGTCTGTGGGCGTGAGACTCGAACTCCAAGAGCCTCTCTCTGCTTCCTTTGTTTGGGTTTCATTAAACTTGCCAGTGCGAGCCTGGGAGCAAAAGGGAAACTATTGAAAGGGAGGGGGGGAAGATAGTGGCGAATTGAGGCCTTATCATAACAGGGAAGGCAAATAACATTTACGGCAATTAAACCGATCTAGAAACTTCTGCTTAACAACCAAAGCGTCTATTAAGATGTCTCCATAGCTTCCTGAGCTTCCTGGAAGTCTCTTTCCCACCCTCATTTTCTGATAACAAGGCAGAGTCGTGCACAGCATGGCTGCCTTCATCTCAGGAGAAGGAAAATAGATGCCTCTTTCAAGATATTTCCATCGCCAGCACAAGGAGAGGAAGAGTTAGGAAGACTGTCCCTGTGCCTAGGTCTAGGTGTAGAAAGCCTTTAGGAAATGGTGTTCTTTTGCTGCAGCTAATGCCTATAAAACACAAACACGAGACTCAGCGCCCAGGGGAAAGGAGGGTAGCTGGTGGCCAACTGAAAGCAGGAGGGGGCAGAGAGAGAGAGAGGCCAGAGAGAGAGAGGGCGCTTGGCATGCTTGCTTTAAAAGGGGGGCTTGCGCATGTGTAACTGAGTCCTCTGGCAGCCAGGTAAAGCTTGACATAAGGATGACATGGCCATGAGCATCCCGCCCATCGTTGGGCGGGGTCAGCTGGCTGCTAGTTCCTAACAGGAAACACCTCCAAACAGAACAGGGGGTGCAACTTGGGAGCCACAGCCCTTAAGATCACCTTGGAAGTCCAAGGGTCAAACAGAAGGCCTCACAGACAGGGCCGATGTCCCCAAACCAACAATGGGCAACACTCATTTCTTATAAAGCTGGACTTACACGATGGACAGCCAGGCCCCCATCAGATGATAAGAAGTAGAAATTGGGGCTGGCTGCAGAAATGGCTCAGAAAGTAAACTATTCACAACCAATTAATAAAATGTCTGGGTTTTATAAATGTTTGGTTTGGTCGGGTTTTTTGAGATGGTCTTAGGTAGCCCAGGCTGGTTTCAAGCTTGCTATACAGCCCAGGCTGGCCTTGAATTCATTATCCACCTGCTTCCACCGCCCAAATGCTGGGATTACAGGCAGGTACCACTGTGTCATGCCAGCCCGCATGATACATAAGCTTGCTATAAATCCTCAAGGTCTGAGCTGGGGAATCTGAAATCAGGTGTGGGGGGCAAGGTATGAGAAGTACACAAAGGTATCGGTCAAAGCTGGAAGGTGAGAAAGCAGAGGAAGTGGAGAATGAAAAGGAGAAGAAATAAGAAGAGAACTAGAATCAAGAAAACCAGTAAGCTGGGTGTGGTGGCACAGGCCTGTGATCCTAGGTACTGGGGAAGGTGAGGTCACAGGCTCACAAGCTCAAGGCCAGCCTTGGTGACCTAGGGAGACCTCATCTCAGTAAGTGAGAGGGAAAAGAGGGGCTGGAGATTCAGTCAT